CGACGGCGGGCACCAGACTGACTCTTAAGGAAAGCGCCGTCGCCTGAGAAAAGTATTTTGGTGGATGCTTGGGATAGAAAGTGTCTGCTGAACGTCGGCCGCTCTGGAAAGGGCAGGAAGCTGCTCAACACACTAGAAGGGAAAGAAGTCATGGCTCCAGGGGCCTCTGGGAAGCAGAGGGGATGGTGAGCAGAGCTGACGGGAGGAGGAGGCCGCGGAGCAGCAGGGTGTCACACACCCCGTGGAGCGGGCTCCCCACTGCCCTGAGCCCCGGTGGCTTGGTGCGCGTGGCTGCTCTTGAGGAAACCAAGGAAGCGCTGAGTTTCAGGTTGGGATTATTATGATGGGAGATGAGGCAGCTTGCACCAGAGCTGGACCTAAGGAGCAGAGAAGGCTCCAAGCACAGCAACACTCAGGACTTCAAAGAAATCTTGAACTCCCCTGGGCCGTGGAACTGGGGTACAGGCAATTCCTCCAGCCCTCAGAAGCATGGAGGCCCCAGCAAACTCAGAAGTGGCACAAGGATGACACCTACCACAGGTATGACATAGAAGGCACCATATGCTTTGGTGGTACCCTCAGCAATTCTCCAAACCTAAAGCCAGTCATTAGAGCAGGAGCTGCTTGCTCTGTGGAGTGAAGGAGTGTGCGAGCTCTTTCCGGGCATGCTCTGTGCTCCGAGAGCCCGAGGCTCTGGAAAGTGGTTTCTGAACTGCTTCCCGGTTGCCTTTGGCCATTGGTGTTCTGTAGGCAGGCACCTGTCTCCTTGGGCTGCTGTTCCTTTGCTCAGGATGCCTCATAAGAGTTGTCCCTCTAGCCAGGGACAAGGGAGCTCTGAGATGCAGCTAGTTTAGGGGCAAAATGGGGCAACCCTCAGTGGTCACCCAACTTGGCTGACACCTTAAGAATGGAAACAGAGCAACAAAGGAGGAGGGCCAGGGTCTTCTGAGAGCAGGAGAATTTTCTGGCAGAGGCCAAGATAAGACCTCTTGAGGCACTGTCTCCCTGCCACCCTCTGCTAAGCTCCCTCTGCCAGGCTTAGGGGGTGGTGCCATCTTTTTAACTGGCAGGGGCAATCCCAGGGCATCAAATGTCCCCTTCTCTCTCCTCGGCCATCTCCAGGTGGATACAAGTGAGCCACAGCCTTCAGGTAAGGCTGCCACAGACAGTAGAGCCTAGGAGGGCTGACGACTCCGTGGCTCCCTGCCTGGGCACTTGCCTTGGTTTTCGGCAGGTGCGTTTGCTGGGCAGGAGGCTGGGGAGGTGGGGGAGTCGACCTCTCTTGCCACTCTTGGACCAAGAGCCCACCAGGCACAAAGCCCAGCTCCCGTCTGCATCGGCCCCATTTCTGCCTTTCCCCTGCCATGTCCTCTCTCTGTTGTGTCTACACTTCTGTGACTACATGGATTTAGTATGGTCTTCTAGCTCTGCTACCGCATGGGTGTCCATGAAGGTCCAGAGAACTGGGCCTCAGACCTGGCCACCTCAGGGAATGCGTTTTTTGAGGGCAAAGTGTTCCAACGGTCTGGAAAAAGCTTGTGTTTTCAACTCGCCTCTGGCATGAGTCCACTTGGAGACTTTCTTGCCTTAAAGAAAACAGGCCCCAGGTAACCCAGGCAACACACCTGAGCACTAAAGAGAAAAGTCAGCTGCCTCCGATATGGCCACTGCCGGGCACGCGCACGCAGGGGGTGCGCCTGGACTCCCTAGGGCTCCGGCCGGCTCTGGGCCGTTGGGCAGCCCCGTCATCCAGCTCAGGCGCCAGACACTGTGAGCCGGGCCTCTGTGGACAAGCGGCACCCTGCCATTCCCTGAGGCACTAGGGTGGCATTAGAAATGTCGCGAGATGCGGAAAGTAGTTTTTACCAGGAGGTGGCTGGCAGTCCTCATGGAGTGGGAGTGAGCCTGCCATGGTGCTCGCGAACGGCCAGTGGAGGCAGGTCCCATAGCCGGGGCCTTGGCTTAGTGGGAGTGGGTGTGGGAGTGAGCGTGAGAGCCGTGGGAGACGCCCTCACGTGCCTGCTCAGCCTCCCCTCTAAGTAAGTTTGAATGGCCTTTTACACAGGGCCTCAAGTCACCAAGCCTCCAGAGTGCCCCAAATGCTCATCCCGGCTGGTCCCTGCCACAGGGCTTCCATCACTTCCCTTCCCTGCCGTGGCAGGGCCTGCCGGGGCCACACACCCCAATCCCACCATCCCTGACGGCGATCCAGCCCTTCCACTGCCTGTCGCTAGACAGAGCACTTACTGCTCACTCCTGATCTGGCCTTCTTTGTGGAGTGCATTCCTTGTGTGCCGTTCTCCACCCTGCCTGCTCACTCCTGATCTGGCCTCCTTTGTGGAGTGCATTCCTTGTGTGCCGTTCTCCACCCTGTCTCTGCCCACCCCTCACTCACTCCTCCTAGGAGACGAGAAAGAACTTAGCTGATTGGTTACGTTGGGGAGAGAAATGGCCTGTACGGTTTTGTTCCTGCCTTTCTTTCTGGGGTCTGTTTGGCTGGATGAGCATACACTCTAGTCGCTAAGTTCTAAGGCTTTTAGGGATGAGCCCTGTCAGGGAGCCCATGAGTAGGTGACAAGCTCAGTCCAGAAATGTGAACTCATGAGGCTGTCCTGGCCAGCAGACCTAAAGCCAACTCTCCAGGTAGACCTTATCCACACTCAAAGTGACATTGCCAATCCAACTCTGCATCCATTTGTCCATTGGTCTCAGCTCGGGCTGGAAAGAGCAGGAGTGTTCAGTATTGGTGCCCTCAGATCCCGTCACGGGGACAGAGTCACAATTCCCCCTTTGCTGACACTGCTCTGGGCGAGTTCCTGCCTCTTACAAACCAAAGGGTTCTGTCAGGGCGACTTCCCTGACCCTAGTTTCTGAAGCATTCCCCATCACGTTTCCTATGGGAATATTTCATTTCTACTCAATTAAATAAATCTCTCTTTCTAGAGGTGAGAGTTTGGACTCTTTCCCCCATTTTAGGCACTGGGCAGTCCTCCTAAACTGACAAGGGTGGCATAGATAAATAAGACCCATGGGCTGGGACGCAATTCTTGGCCACTATAAACTAGGGGTGGGAAACCCTGAAAGGGGCCAATCATTCCAGAGTCTATCGTGATGGCAGTGGCAGCCCTAAGCCATGGCCTTCTTGCATCAATGTCCGTTGTCCTGTGACTGTATGGGCCCCGTCCTACTCTGACTCTGGACTTGACCATGTGATTTACTTTAGCCAACAGGATTTTGGGAGATTTTAGGCTTGAAAGACTGCTTGTGTTTTCTACTTCTCCTGGAGCACCACCAGAGTGCTGAGCTAGCCTGCCGGAAGACGAGACATGTGGGACAGAGCTGAGGGCCACCTGGATCCGCCAGCTGACCACCAGACATGTGCATGAACCTCAGCTAACCCCAAGAAGAATTTGAGGCCAAGCCCTGTAAGGATTAACAGAACCACACAGCTGGGCCTGTAGACTTGTGGACAGTAAGAAATGCTGTTATCTTAAGCAAATGCATCTCTAGGTGTTTTATTATGCGCATTAACATGGCAATAGCTGACTGCTACGGGAGCTTTTTTTCTAAAGTTATCTACAGACTGGTGAAGGGGTGTCTCCTGTGGTGCCCAGCAAGATGTGAGGTGACAGGGTGTTCTGTTCATGCTCGTAGGTTTCAGAGCCAGACTGTCAGAGCTCAAATTCCAGTACTACCATTTGCCAGCTTTGTGTTCTTGACCAGATTATCTCAGCCTTGGCTTTTGTTTTGTTTTTGTTGTAAAACAGGAATAAAAATGTGATCTACTTTCTATGGTTGTTGTGAGGATTCAATGAGCTGATGATGTATGTGAAGTGCTTAGAATGAGGCAGCTTCTCGACAGAGATGAACCATCAGTGGGAGCGTCTGTCCAACTCCCTGAGCGGAACCCTCACTCCTGGGGGGTGGGAACCCTCCTCTGCCTTCTCCTCCCCCGTCGTTTGGCAGAACACCCAGCACAGTGAATATCCACTGTTGCTGAATGTCTGGAGTGAAGTTAGTACTTGTCCAGATGCAAATTTCAATAGTCTATTTCACCCTAAAGCCAATATCTTTGACCTTTTTGTAAAGTGCACATGGGATATGGTCCTGCTTTACAGCCATACTTCTCCCTCACTGCTGTTGTGCTACGACATGAGACTTTAAACCCTTCCTCACTGGCTGGCACTTGCACGCACTGTCCCTTCCAACTGTACTTAATGGAAGCATGTCCCAAGAGCTAGTCTGGGGGGGGCACAAGGGGCACCCTCCCAGGTCAGGAGAGACTGAGCTGGAGGAATCACCTTCTTTCAATGATCCACAGCCCGGCTTTTCCCAGCCACCCTCTTTTTGCTCCAGAGCCTCCGCCACCTGACGGCATCTGAACCTGGCTCCTGGACAGTTTGTCTCCCGCCTGGCTGCGTGGAAGTCATCTAGAACACTACCCACTGCTTTCCCTTCCTGATGTCCCTGTGCATGAGGGGGATGTGATTGTTCCCTAGACACTACCTATCTCTAGGTAAAATGACTGCCTTTTTGGGGCTCTGTGGAAGCACCTGATTCCGAAACCCCGGCTTTGAATCTGACCCAGCTCTGCTGCCCCCCCATTTAGGGGGTTTAAGGACAGCCCCCTAAGGCAACTCCAGCCCCACTGTGAGCCTCATTTTCCTCTCTGGGAGATGGAGCACTGCTCCCCCATCCCCCCGCAGGAGCAACCAGGCTGACACCTGGTGTGACATTGGTGCTCATTCCACACTTGCATCTTTTCCTTTTCTTGTGTGTAAATGTTAGGACCAGGGAAGTCATGTGACCGGGTGACCATGTGTCCCCTCTCTGCCCCCCATAGCAGGGCTGCTGGGAAGATGGAATGAGAAGGTACCCTGTGGCGCCCAGCACAGAGCCTGGGGGAGGAATAGTGACGTCAGCTCGGTCTCAGCATGCCTGACCATGTGGTGCTGGCCCGTGATGGGGCTGAGCTGTGTGGGGAAGGGGCAGGCACCCACCTTTGACAGCTCCTGCCTCGTCGTGCTTCTCAAAGAGCAGGTAGCGTGGGCTTTCGGGGAGAAAGGGCAGGCTCACCAGCTGGATGACAGAGGGGACGACAATCACGCCAAATAGGTATGGCCAGGTGCTCTCCTGCGGGAAAGAGAAGATGCAGCTGAGTGCAGGTGGCCTTTGGTCACTACGCGGAGGCCCGGGCACTGAGCCGTGCAGCTTGGGCTCTGCAGACTGCCTCCCTGCCCGGCACAGTCCCACCAATAAAGGCTGTGGGAGGCAAGTGACCCAGGCTGTGCCAGCCCCAGGTACATGGAACTTTCCTCAGAGCCCCCAGGAAGGGACCTGGGCTGGCTCTGAAAAGCAGGTGGCTCAGGCAGCCAAAGCCACCGCCCCAGGTCACCACAGTGAGCCGGGGATCCCTGGGTCTCCTTCTCTTCACTCCCACAGCCGCCTCCTTGCAGGCTGCCGTGAGAATGGAGCCTGCACACAGTAGGGTCGAGAGGCAATGTCAGTGCCACCACCAGTCAAGCCCGAGGCCACGATGCCGACCGTCTCTCTGGGCGGTGAGGGAGCAAGAAGGGCACCTGGAGCTCTCCCAGCCCCCATGGGAGTTGGGGGCAGGAGCACGGGTTGCTCCCAGGTAGGGAGGACTGCTCATTTTCCAGGGAGCCGTAACGGGCCACAGGCTGTGCTGAGGCAGTGCTGTCGAGGCCGGCGGCTCACACGCGGTGCGGAGCCCGGGTGTCATGCCCATTAAGGCGGCAGGTCCTTCCTCATCCGCTTTTTCCTTACCCAGGTTTACAAATAAGGTCTCGCTGTGTCACTGAAGGAAGAGTCACGGGCAGTTCTGATGGGGAGAAGGATAGGATGCCAAGTCCACACCACGTTCTTGACAGGTTTTATTTCCCAAGAAAGTAAAAGGAGGCAGCCAGGGAGAAAATAAGAGACACTCGGATCTTAAAAGCAAAGGTCTGAGGGGCAAAGGCTCTGCTGGCTTCCGGGCAGGACCTTGACTGTGTCCACAGAATCCTCGCGCCCCGGCACTGATGGCGACTCAGCCCACAGCCCCCCACCCCACCCACGGCTGCCCTTGGGCGGCAGAATGTCCCTCTGTCACTCTCCTGAGAGTCACTCCCTAGTGGGGTCTGTGGTGACAGAGACCCTGTGAAGCATAGGATCCCACGAGGGGAGAGCAGGGCCCGAAGCACAGAGCAAGCTGGGACATGGTGGCCGGTGGTTGGCCTGGTACTTATCTGCAGGGCACCTTCAATTGGACTCCCTTTGTGTGCCTAATAACCATTTTTATTCGCAAAACTGCTCTGGTTCCACCAGCCGGCACAGCCCTTCCTACACACTTTGAGGAGCCAGCACGGCCAACGCCAGCTTTCCCGTCTGGGACAGAGCGCTGGCTGATGACAGTGAGAGGGGCCAGAGGCAGACTTGTGTTCTCAGGCCTGGGGCTGGGGCTGGGAGTGGCCGCTAACTCGCGTGGGCTTTCATCCCAGGGCGATGGAAATACTCTGGAATTAGGTAAGGGTGATGGCTGCATGACTTTGTGAATAGATTAAAATCCACTGAGTCGTATAATTTAAAAGGATAAATTTTATGGTTTGTGAAGTATAACTCAATAAAAGACCGTGGAGAAAAAACCCCAACATGCACGTAAGTGGAATTTCCATTGGACCTGTGTGTGTTTTGCTGCTGCTGTTTATTTTTTCTTTTAGAGATTGCTGCCTCAGTAAGAACAAAAACAGAAGCTGGGAAAAGACAAAGGAACCAATTCGATTAAGGTCCTACCACGAGCCGGGCATGGCGTGAGCCCTCCCCATCCTGTCTGCTTGCACCCCCAGGCAATCCAGAGGGGCCGGCACGACTGTTGCGCGTCAGAGGTTTGGGGGATACCTGTGCTTAGGCCCACTGGCCAGGAGCCACACAGAGGAAGCAAGCCCATTCTTTTCCCACAGCATCATAACAGAGGCATGTCCCAGGGGTGGCGTCTTTGGAGCTGCCACTGGGTGGAAGAAGGAGAGGAGCTGGAAGGGCACCCGGGTGGGAACAGCATGTACAGACACGCAGAGGCATGATCCACCCAGGCTCATCAGGGACAAGCAACTGCAGTGGGGCACAAGGTCAGCAGATGCCACAGGTGTGGGGCTAAGGGTGGAGCCCTAGGCAGAGATCAGGTCATGGGTGGCTTTGCCACCTCTCCCTGGTCTTGGACTTGGCTGGAGGACAACCAAGAGCCTTTGCAGGGTCTATACCCTTAACTGAGATGGACACTCTCGGTTTCCTTGAATCTGTAATTCAGCATTTTTGGAATCTTATGGTCAGTGGGTACATTTAACATTGCATGACTACTCCCAAGAGGGTGTCACCAAGTCTGTGGTATAGCCTGTGATCCACAGTGCTTTAAGTACAAGGACATGTGTTATCTTTCCTCAGCGGGAGTCACTTCAGTGACCGTGGTCTGGTTTCTAGCCCTGGAGAGAAGGTGGATGCTGCCAGGGTGTGTGTCCCTCTGCTTGGGATGTTGACAGCTCTGGACGGGGGAAGGAGAATGGCGGTGGCTGCTCTGTGGTGGGGGTCAGGGAGTGTCCGGAGTGGAGCTAGGGCAGTGGCTTAGTCAAGAGGGACTGAGCTTAGCCAACAGCAGAATTCATGAACCTGGCTTTTCTCAGAGAATGTTCAGAGACATTCTGGTAATGCTGGCCGACCACAGGGGAGGTGGTGTACTTAGGACTGATTCTTCCCCTCTTCTTCTGCCAGATGTACAATGGGTGTGTATGTAGGCGAGTGTGTTAAGTGGGGCCTTTCCTCCCATATTGTGCCATGTGGCCCACCCAGATACAGTTGGCTCTTGACCAGCACAGATTGGAACAGCACTGGTCCACTCATACATGGATGTTCTTCCGCCTCTGCCGCCCCAGAGACAGCAAGACCAGCCCTCTCTTCATCCTCCTCCTCGGCCTCCTCAATGTGAAGATGACGAGGATGAAGACCTTTATGATGCTCTACTGCCACTTTGTGAATAGTACACATACTTTCTCTTCCTATGACTTTTTTTTTTTTTTTTTTTTTGAGACAGAGTCTCGCTTTGTTGTCCAGGCTAGAGTGAGTGCCGTGGCGTCAGCCTAGCTCACAGCAACCTCAAACTCCTGGGCTCGAGCGATCCTTCTGCCTCAGCCTCCCGAGTAGCTGGGACTACAGGCATGCGCCACCATGCCCGGCTAATTTTTTATATATATATCAGTTGGCCAATTAATTTCTTTCTATTTATAGTAGAGACGGGGTCTCGCTCTTGCTCAGGCTGGTTTTGAACTCCTGACCTCGAGCAATCCGCCCGCCTCGGCCTCCCAAGAGCTAGGATTACAGGTGTGAGCCACCGCGCCCGGCCCCTATGACTTTTTAAATAACATTTTTTCTCTCGCTTACTTACTGTAAGCATGTAGCATATAATACATATAACAGAAAATACATGTTAATCGGCTGTTTATGTCTTGGTAAGGCTTCTGGTCACAGTAGGCTGTCAGTAGTTAACTTGGGGGGGTCAAAAGTTATACACAGATTTTCGACTACATGAGGGGCCAGTTATTACAGTTGACCTTGGCATGGTTCAAAGTCAACTGTCCTAATAAAAATAGCCAGGGAGACCTGCAGATATGGCACGCTGCGCCCCGTGCTTTACAGAAATATTTCTGACAATGAACGCCTCCCCTCCCAGTGACAGTGATAAGACACAACAATTGTAACCAGCTCCATGAACAAAAACATCTTTTTGCAGTTCTCTTATGTTTGAGGTTTCCAGGCCAGTAAGACTTGCTGACCAGAACTTTGTAACTTCTGTGTCACAGATCCCTCCCTTTCGAGTTGTTTTCCAGAGGGGTGGACCCTCCTTGCAGTAAGGAGAACACCGCGGACGGGCAGCATTCCACCCCAGGTCTTGCCCGAGACCGCTGAGCGACCTGCTCCACACAGCCGCCCGCAGGTGGACGTCACCTGATGTCACCCCAGCTCATAGCACTGCTCAGACCTCCGCGCTGGGGGGCTCACCTGCCATTTTGGTCGCGCGGTGCCCGTGCCAGTGAGCTCCCCGCCAGCACAGTGCGCAGCGAGGCGCACGCCCTGTGGGGAAGCCCCGGCCGCCGGCCGCCGAGAGAAGGATTTGAGGATTCCTGGTTGGCGTCCTCCCCAACAAGTCTCCTTTCTTCCTTAGTCACTGGCTTTCTGTGACAAGCAACAGAGGGAGCCTCCTTGAGGGCTCGTCAGTGCGACCCGGGCCGGGCCTGGCCGCCGAGCAGGCCGCCTGGGTTGCATTCCGCCCTCACTGCGGCCGCGGCAGGTCGCCCAGGTGCCCAGGCCTGTGTTTCTCATCAGTGAAAATGAGGACGATGGCAATGCTTCGCAGGGAGGACGTGCGCGGGAGGATTGAGCGAGCGAGCGGTGGCCGGCGCCAGCGAGGGCAGAGCCGCCTTCCCGCCCGCAGCTCGCCCGCCCGCCTCACACAGCCCGCTCCTCGGCCACCGAAGGGCAGACCGCAGCACGGAGGGCTGTGATGGCTCCCTGGGGCCACGTGATCACAGAGACGTGACTGAACGCCAAGTCTAGGGTCCCAGAACCTGAATTCTGATCTGCGAGGCCTGACAAGATGCACCTTGGTGACCAGGGAGGAGCTGAGACTGGGGTGGGGCCAGGTGAGTTGGGACAGACTCCCTTCCACCTGCCCCGCGCCAAAGAATCCTCACGGGACCTCGGTGTGCTCCTGGGCGCTTGGTCCAGAGAGGAGGCAGCACTCAGCGTTTGGCATTAGACGTGCGCTGCCTTAGGAGGGCTTTCTTACGCACTGGTCACTTCACATACAGCCCTTGTCCTCTGCAGGGAGCAGCCTCTGGTTGTCTTTTTCAGGAACTGTTCAAAAAAGAAGGCATGTTTTTATAAACTAGGCATTACTTGCCTACGGCAGGACCGCAGTGAGTCTGTGTGGCTGGCTGAAGCCCGACACGTGCCGCAGAGCATGAGAGGGTCCGACTTGGTGACACGGGCTCCCTCGGAGGAGGAGGAGGAAGAGACTGCTAGCTCCCCATCAGGTAAGGTGAGTGGGCCTTGCCATAACTCTATTATCCTGCTCTTTAATCTGCAAGGTTTCCATTTTTAAAATAGACTTCTAGGTCATATTTCCGCCAGGCCATCAATACTTTAGTCCTTTCCATAAATAATATCTTCCTGGAGTGTGATGAGACAGCAAAACCGTTTTTAAGTAGAGTTGGAGTCATCGCTCCTACTGGGTCAAGTCCTTATGAAAGCACATCCCGTGCGCCAGGCCCAGACGGTGGAGCAGGGCTTTGTGCCGCGCGGCAGGACGAGGGTCCAGAGGCAGCCGAGGCCCAGCGCTGGGCGATGGAAAGCGCAAGAGCAGGACCCACCTCGCAAGGCTATTTGGGGAACTAAATGAGAAGTTTTTCTTTATATTTCTTCAGATTTAGGCTCTTCGTGTAATAATGGCTGACTTTTATCAAGTGCTGTCTATGCCCAGCTCCCTGCTAAGTGTGTCACAAATACAGCTTCCTATTGAGTCAGCACAGTCCAGGATGGCATTAAAATACAGCCCTGATCTTTGTGTCTCATGCATTTAACCCGTGGAGGTTCCCTTTCCCTGCCCTCGCCAGGGACTCGGGTATAGACTGAGCAGAGTCCTGTCCTAGAGTCACAGTTTCAAGTGAGACATCAGAATGGCCAATCCAAAATAATAGTCACAGG